AGATAGGGCAGGACGAGCCCACTGCGGAGCGGGGGGGCCGCGCCCCGGGACAGATAGGGCAGGACGAGCCCACTGCCGAGCGGGGGGGGGGCCGCGCCCCGGGACAGATAGGGCAGGACGAGCCCACTGCGGATCGGGGGCCGCGCCCCGGGACAGATAAGGGCAGGCAGAACGAATCGATTGCCAAGTTGGACAGGCAAAAGTAGCTGATAACTGAGCCACTTGGGCCAACCAAGTCTATGACCCTCTCAGCTGAACTGCTGAGACTTCACCCCTGGGAATTATGCAGTAAGCAACATAAATCCTACCATCAACAATTGTCCTACCATGTTAGTAAACACTGTGAAATATCTGTAACTTATGTTTTCATGACATATTTCCACGTGATCTCTGGAAAAATTTGACAGACACAGCTGCTTTGGAACGTAAGTTGGAAAAGCTGTAGTCAGCTGGTAGGTTCTGCCGGCGTGGAGCCTCCTTCTGATGCCTTCCACAGCGCCTCAAAGTGATAGCTCTATGTACACATATAGAAATATGCACCCATCCTATGTTCCTGTTGATCATGTTCCTGAAAAGTTGCTCGATTTCCTTCTCGGTCTGGGCTTCTCCAATATATTTGACTCCATGTTCTGTCAGTTACAAAAATACAATTAGGTATCTGTCAATACCTAATTGTATTTTTGACATTCTTGTTTTGAGCAATATTTCTAGTTGCATCAAGTTTAGAAGATGTGTAGTATTTCCCTAGTGAATATAACTTACATCTCTGTGTGTGTGCTCTCATGTCCTTCTTTATCTCTACTAATGACACTCACCTTAAAGTCTCTTTTCTGTAAGAGTAATAATGATAATCTAGAATGTACTTGTCTATCAATTCAGCTGTATGTTTTGATCTTTTAGGTATATATTACGTGCAAACACAAACAAATAAAGACGTATGTACTTTTTAAATTCCATTCCAACAATCTGTACTTTGGTATTAGATACTGTAGTTTATTTATATGTCCAACTACACATGATAGTCAATAAAACCCCTCTATAGTGCAATCAGATATTGAAAATTATATGATTGGGAGAGACATGAGCATGTTATTCAGAGCTTAGTTTTAGAGGAAAGCATGAGTGGTTGGTTGGATCACAGGTGTGGGAGTTCTGGGTCAAGTTACTGGCTAAGCCAGTAGCACTGATTCCATTGATTACCATCATTGATTGACGACATTGATTGGTGCCCAATTCATTACTTGAATCTTGGATAATTGGGCCAAGAGGATATTGGAACCTATACATAATTATTTATAATTTTACTGTCCCCAAGTATCCCCCTTGAAAACTTACATAGTGAAAATATGCTGTATATTTATGTTTTAATAAATTATAATTTAATAAAAATACAAGAACTCCATCATATGAGTAGTGTTAACTGGCACCCTGAAAATTATCGAAAGCCAAGTTAAACACAATAGAGTATATGTCCAAATAAACAGATTGCAAAAATGAGCAAAACATTACAACATTGCGTGCCTATCATATTGAGGGTAAAATTTAATTTTGGTAACATATAGGGTTTGGAGAGACACTCTCATCCTTTCTTGGTTGAGATGTCACCTGGGATAAACCGTCTGAAGGAATTTCACATACATACATACATACATACATACATGTATATGGGATATGTATGGGTGTTAACATACATTAATTAAAAAATATTTTCTAACCCCAGCAACCCCACTTTCCAGAACTATAACCATTATAGTAAAGATTAATGTGTGTGGGTATGTGTGTGGGGGGGAATATGAGTGTGCAGGCATGTGTGTGTGCAGGTGAGTGAGCATGCAGGAATGTGTGTGTGAGGGTATGTGCATGTGCAGGTATGTGTGTGTTTTGGTATGAGTGTATTTGCATGTATGGGTGTGGGGGGCATAAGTATGTGGGGGTAATATCTTTGTGTGTGTGTGTGTGCTGGTATGTGAGTGTGGGGTTGTGTGTGTGTGGGTACGTGTTTGAGTCATGTGTGTGTGCAGTTATGCGATTGTGTGGGAATATGTGTTGTGGGTTTATTTGTGTGCTGGTATGTGTGTGAATGGGTAGATTTTTCCGGATATGTGAGTGTGGGTGTATGTGTGTGCATCAGTTTGTGTGGGTGTGGGTATGTGCGTGCAATTATATGAGTGTGTGGGTATGTGTGTGTGCATGTATGTGATTGTGTGGTTGTGTTTGCATGTATGTTTGTGTGAGAGTATGTATTGAGTAATATGTGTGTGGGAGGTATATGAATGAGCGGGTATGTGTTTGTGGCTATGTGTGTGGGCAGGTATGTGTGTGGTTATGTGAGTGTGTGGATATGTGTAAGTATATATGAGTGTGTGGGAGTGTGTTCAGGTATGAGTGTGTGTGAGTTTGAGAATGTGTGGTATCTGAGTGTGCAGCTATGTGTGTGTGCAGGTATGTGTGGGGGGGCTATATGTATATGGTTTTGTGAGAGTGTGGGTATGTGTGTGTGAGGGTATTTTAGTGTCTGTGTGTTTGGGTATGTGTGAGTGTAGATATGAGTGTCTTTGTGGGGGTTATGGGGTTGAGGGGTGTGTGTATGAGTGTTTATGTGTGTGTGTTGGTGTACTTGTGCAGGTACATGTGTGTGTGTGTGCTGGTATGCAAGTGTGGGGTTATGTGTGTGTGTAGTCATGTGTGTGAGTGGGTATGTGTTTGCAGTTATGTAATTGTACAGGTATGTGTTTTGTGGATATATTTGTGTGTGGGGGTGAGTGTGTGAAGTATATGTGTGTTCAGTTATGTGACTATGCAGGTATGTGTGTCTGTGGTTATGTGTGTGTGGTATGCAACTGAGCAGATATAGATGTGTTTGGGTGTGTGAGCGCAGGGAGCTGTGTGTGTGTGCTGGTTTTTCTGTGTGCATTATATGTCTGTGTGGGTATGTATGTGTGGCTGTGTGTGTGTAGGTATGTTTGTGAGTGGGTATGTGTGTGCTGTTATATGAGTGTGCAGGTATGTGTATGTGAGTGTATGTAAGTGTGCTGGTATGTGCGTGTGTGTGGGTATGTGTGGGTATGGGGGTGGGGGTTGTATGTGCATATACATGTGGGGGGAAAGTGTATGGGGTGGGGGGTTTTATGTGTGTGTTTTTGTGTTTGTATGTGGGTATATGTGTGGGGGGGAGTATGTGAGTATGGGGGTTTGTTGGGGAGGTATTGTGTAAGTGGGTATGTGTGTGAGGTTATGTGAGTGGGTATGTGTCTGTGGTTATGTGTGTGTGCCTAAGTGAGTGTGGGGTGGTGTGTGTGTATCTGTGGGTATGTGAGTGTGGGGCTGTAGGTGTGTGTGCACATATGTGTGTGCAGATATGTGAGTGTGTGGGTATGTATGTGTTTGAGTGAGGATGTGTGTGGGAGGGCTTGTGTGGGGGGGGGCACATTTGTTTGCAGGTGTGTGTGTGTGGTTACGTATGTGTTTGGGTATGTGTACATGTGGGTGTGCGTGTATGCTGTGGGCCGTGATGGAGGGCAAAGGGTAGAGGAGGTGCCCAGGCCCTGGGGAAAACCTAAGTTTGCTTCTGAGCTCCACAGGTGAGAGAACTGCACAAAATCTCTCTTATTTCCTCCCCTCCAGAGAGCGTTAAGGAAGCATTCATGGAAATTTTCCCCAAGCATTCCGTGGTCCCTACAGTTGGGTGCAGAGTTTCTGCTTCTCCCATGGTTGCTGCGAACTACTCTGTGGCTTGCTTGGATTTCTGATGGGGCCGTGGGGAGGAGGCATGGTTCTCATGGTGAAGAAAGTGTAGGAAATGGAGGCAGGGACAACAGGCTGGAGAGAAGCAGCCACACTATCCCTGGAAGCAGCAAGGCTGTAGCCAGTATGAGGTAGCAACACAGTCACAGGTACCAGCCTAACAGCCCCAGTCCAGACTCCACCCTTGTGAGGTCACTGGTGAGTGAGACAGGTTCAATAAATGGACAAATGGAATAGTGTGTACCTGTAGGAGCTCCAACCGAGGGAACACCACTTTGTTCTTTGCAAGTCTGAAAACAACATGCCAGGGATGGGGTAAAAAAGACAGAGCCTTTATTGCTTACACAGAGGGGAAGACTGGATGGCAGCCAGTCAGTCATTCAAATATACTTCTAGAACAGGCAAGGGTAGCACCTTAACCCATACAGTAACCCTAACCTTGTAACCCTAAGCCTAACCATAATGGTAACCCTAAAGCTAACACTGTAACATTAATCCTAATCATAACCCTATAACCATAACCCTAATACACACCCTAACCCAATAAATCTAACTCTATAACCCTAAACCTAAACCTAAATCAAGTCCTATAACCTTCCTGTGGTGAAAACTGTGCAGGAAATGGAGGCAGGAAAAACAGGCTGGAAAGGGGCAGCCATACTCACCCTGGAAGCAGTACTGCTGTAGACAGTGTGAGTTAGCAACATAGCCTCAGATATGATCAGGCAGCAGCTCCAGTCCATACTCCACCATGTGAAGTCACTGATGAGTGTGAGACAGGTTCAATAGGATGGACAAATGGCATAGGGTGGATTGTAGGAGCTCCCACCCAAGGAACACCAATAGAAAATATTGTTTGCTATTCTGAAAACAATGCCAGGCACCAGGCAAAAAGACATAGCCTTTATTACTTACACTAGGGGGAAGACAGAATGGATGCCAGTAAGTAACTCAGATGTGTTTTACTGACAGGTGATGGTCAAGCTTTTACCCATTCCCTAACTCTAACCTTATAACCCTAACCCTAACCCTAACCCTGTTCACCTAATCCTAACCCTAACACTAACTTTATAACCATAAACCTAACCCTAACCCTAAAACCCTAACCTTATCCCTAAACCTAACCCTATAACCTTAAACCTAACCCTAACCCCAACCCTATAAGCCTAACCCTCACACTAATCCTAAATTAACCCTAACCCTAGAACCCTAACCCTAAAACCCTAACCTTAATCTTATCCCTAAACCTAACCCTAACATTATCTCTAACTCTATAACCCTTACCCTAACCCTATATCCTTAAACCTAAACCTAACCTTAACCCTATACCTAACCCTAACACTAAACCTAACTCAATAACCCTAACCATAACCCTAGCCTAAACCCACACCTGTAACCCTAACCCTGTAACACCAACCCTCACCCTCACCCTCACCCTCACCCTCACCCTCAGATATCATCCTGCAGCAGCTCCAGATCAGACTCATCCCTTGTGAGGTTACTGGTGAGAGTGAGACAGGTTCAGTAACCTAAGGCAAAGGGAATAGGGTGTACTGTAGGGTATACTGGACTGATCTCCTTTCTCAAGGCCTGAGAGGCTAAACTGATTTTGTGTTCTGAGTCAGGTGTGTAGGGGCAGCCCTAACACCCTATGAGAGCACATGTAGGCAGAGTTAAGGCCTTTGTCTCCTCAGGAGAAAGGCCTGCAGTGTTTAGCTGGGCAGTGTTGCTGAACTTTGAGTCAAAAAACCAACCTGAGATCCCAGTGGGATGAAAACTTCCAATGATTATAATTTGGTGAGAACCATGAAAAACCTGTTGGTACAAGCTCACCTTATGTGTTCCAAATTTGTTACTCTTTCAAGTTCAGGAGAGAGTGACCTTCTGACAAAAAGAGACCAAGGTTTGCTGCCCCAGCTCAGACTAAGCCCTGGAGCCTGAAACAGACCAGTGTAGACACACAGAGTTGAGCCTCTGCTTATTGGCCACAGATGTTCACAAAATATAAGGGGGGCAGGGGGAGTAGCCACAGGTTTCCCTCATAATCACTTCTCTTGTTTTCTGTAGTCAATTACCTGGACAGTGATGGAGGAAGAGGGGAGAGGAGGTGTCCAGGTCCTGGTGAAAACCTCTCAAACTTTGCTTCTGAGCTGCACAGGTGAGAGAACTGCACAAAATCTTTCTTATCTTCTCCCCTAAAGGAAACTGTGGAGGACGTTTTCAGGCAAATTTCCCCCAAGCATTCCATGTGGGCTTGGTCCCTACATTTGGGTGCAGAGGTTCTGCATCTCCCATGCTGGCTTCCAACTACTGTGCAACCTCCTAGGATTCTGATGGGGTGATGGGGAGGAGGCATATTTCCTATGGAGAAAAATGTGCAGGAAATGGAGTCAGAAAAAAGAGGCTGGAAAGGAGAACTCACAGTCCCTGGAAGCAGCACTACTGTAGACAGCGTGAGTTAGCCACAAGTCTCAGATATGCTCCTGCAGCATCCCCAGTCCAGAATCCACCTCTGAGGGCACTGGGGAGAGTGAGACAGGTTCAATAGGAAATAGAATGACCTTTGGAGCTTCAACCAAGGGACAACCACACTGTTCTTTGCGAATCTGAAAACAACATGTGGGAAACCTGAGGGAAATGAAATAGCCCTTTACTTTCACACTGAGCAAGACCCGACGGTGGCTCTTCAGTCAGGCAGGTGTGCTTCCCTGCCAGTTCCAGGCATTGGTTGAGCAAGATGTTATCTAGCAGCTAGCCAAGGGCACGGGGAGAGAGCTGGGCACTCCTGTAGACCAGTGCCAGGCAGAGGAGTCCTGCGAAGCTTGTAAGCAGTCAGGAGCACGGGAAACACTAAGGTCTGGGCTGCTCTGCTTCTTGAGCTGCTGGCCAGGCGCACCTTTCCCCTGGGAGAGCAGCGGGCCACCTCCTTCCCGTACACGCCATTCCCGCCCGATACTGCCCGTTCCCCCTGGCAGGCTCTGAGCCACGCTCCTGGCAGGNGCCGAACTGCCCGTTCCCCCTGGCAGGCTCTGAGCCACGCTCCTGGCAGGGGGCCTGNCGCCCGATACTGCCCGTTCCCCCTGGCAGGCTCTGAGCCACGCTCCTGGCAGGGGGCCTGGTGTTCAGCGTGCTGGCACATGGCGTCCGAACCCGCCGATGCCTTACGGTCGGGTGTATTGTCGGGTGTATTGTCTCCAGGGCCGAAGACAGCTGCCGCAGGCGGCGAGGGGTCGGTGCCTAGAGCGGAGACGGCGCTGACTCACTTCTCAGGCCTTGAAACGCGACCCTGGCCGTGTTTTGAATAAGGTGCGTAGGGGCAGCCTCCGGGCCCCCGGGAGCGCACTGTCAGGGGTGTCACGCAGGGGTTCGAAAGTCTCTGTGTCCCGCCCGTGACCCCGACCATCCTGCGCATGCGCATGACGGTGACCTTACGTAAGCGTGCACAGCGGAACACGCCTGCGCATGCGTCTCAGCGGGACGCAGCCGCCCTGGTGGAGAGCCAGTGCTGCGCCTGCGCGTGTGGCCCGCTCCGGGCTCCCCGCTC